TATTATTAAGATGCAGAAAATTTGAATCACGCCGCTGAGTACTCTCTATCTGACACGATAATTTTATCAGTTTTTCGGCAGTTACCATTGCTGATTGTCGGCTTCTTTTTTTTTTAAATCACAATATTTTTAAAATTACATTATTTATCACAAAACGTACATTTAATTAAACACTTTGAAGTGTTTGATTTGTGTGATTTCGTCATAAATACATGTGGTTTTATCAATAATTGCCGTAGATTTCATGTTTTTATAAAATTTTATTTATTTATTGATGCGATGACGACTTGCAAAGTGTGAAAAAAGAGAAATATGTCTTTTTTTTTCAATGTTCTTTTATGTGTTGATGGGAAAAAGGCTTTAATTTGTAAAACTGCAATTAAATTTCACTGTCCACACATTTGATGATAACTAAAGAATATGTCAAATATTTTAGTAAATAACACATTTAAAATCTGACATATATATAGTAATTTTCGGAAGTTGTTTCTTTTGTTATGCCGTTTATATGTTGTTTTTCCTAGGATTTGTAATTGCTTGTAAAGTACCAAATAAATAGGTACCTGAACCAAAATTTTCTATCCTTTTCATCTGCTTCTGTCCACTTTTTTATTTATTATGTGTCTAAGTGTTATGACAACTTTTATATTTATAATTTTTATTTCCTTTGATAGTTTTGAATGGCACTTGAGTGTTTGCCAGAAAAGATTATTTTAATAAAAAAAGTATGTTTGAGTATTTTATTAAACTGGCTGAAAGATTTTAATACTAAAGCATTTTTCAATTCAAAATTTGATGGTCTTTTTTATTTTATGATGCTGTGCAGATTAGTGACAAAGGAGTTTTCAATCAGTATCAGTACTTTTATGTTTCAATTCTTCTTTTTTGATTAAAAAATAAGTAGTTTAATGTGTTCGAAAAATATTTTTACTTCAGCAAAAATATTCTTTTTTGTGTTAGGTATTCTTTGCTTTTATTTTCATTTTTATTGAAATTTTTCCAGTTGCTTTACCTTTTTATGTGTGTTTTTAGTTTTATCCAGAATCTAAACTAAATGGTTTTAAACTTGTGTTTATTTAGGAGGCAAAATTATTTATTAAAGCTGTTGACAAAATAGGGTGGAACTTAATAAAAGGCTTTTAAAATTATTTGTCTTGGTTGTACTCGTTTTTTTTCTCTTCCTGTTATCAAGTGCTATTTAGGTTAATTCTTCGTTGATTTGAATAGAAAGAATACATGAGGGAGAAAAAGTTGTAGTTTCAGCCAGGGGTCTACAAAAGTGTGAAATTTCCTTGAACTAAGATACTATGTAATGGAAAGTGTCATAAGGCATTTCATTATTATGAAATTACTTAAACAGAACTATTATTTTATGATATTGTCTGAAATAAAATGGGTATAAATATCTTTTCCTTTTAAGTATTTTCTAATTTTAACGGGCCATTGCCGAATAACAGCACAAGATCAATTTGTGTTTGCTAGGAGCATTAAGTTGTTTACACATACAATTATCAGTATTTAAGTAATCATTAAACTTTTGCTTTGTTAGGTACTACCAGCAAAATAATGGCCTGTAATAAACTTAGATTTGTAGAAATAAATTAATTTATCATTTGAAGAATTCCCCCTTTTCATTTTTGCATAAGATTATAAATTGAAGATTGAAAGAGGGAATTTAGTGCAAATAGTGAATTATTAGCAAAAGCCAATTTTAAGAACGTTTTAGTTGAATGTTATGTTAAGAAAAATCATTTTTATTTTAAATGAAGACATTCACATTTTAGAGCGGGGAAAAAAAAAATCAAACTGAGGTGTTGTCACGGCGACCGGAATATTTTGACCCCTGGTTTCAGCTAGATTCTTATTTTAACTGAAATTTTTATTTTCTAATTTCAGATATTGGGGAGCCGGTTGTAAACATTTTTAAAGAAAGATGTAAAATTGTTAAAGAAAAGAAAGATGCAAAAGTAGTTAGCCGAAAAGCAGCGCAAGCCAATAAGGATACGTAAACTGTAATTGCAAGTTAGTCATTAAGACATTTAATTTCAAGTTATGATTTTGTTCGTAAAACATTTGCAATGTTTTGCTTACATTCTTATGAATTTTTATTATTTTATTGCATAAGGCAAATTTTGTTTTTATTTTGTTATTTCAATCAAATAAAATAATTTATCTTTTCATAAAACAGGTATTTTTGTTTGTGACAACATTAAGACATCATACTGACTTTTTACATTTTTTTTTGCATGTTTAAGGTATTTTAGTGGTACTTTGGTTGTTCGTGTCAATCAGTTAGGAAACATATTTATTCTGTTCTAGGAATAACAGCAGGGTGCATTAAATTAATTGTTAGGAATTCGTGTTTCAAAGGTATTCATCAAAACATTGAAGACTAATATTTTTTGTTTGCAATTTGGCAATAGTTATTTGGCATTATTAAAAAGTAACTGTGAAATTATCTGGATATTAATATTTCTATTGTAATAGATTTTGTAATTCAGATTAGTTTGTCAAAATCTGAATTTTATATTTTGACCCTTCTTGCTTCAAGGTTCAAATGTAATGGAGCTTGGATCATAATTGGGATTTAAAAAAGGTAATTTATTTTTTATTTGGGTGATAAATAAGTTTTCAAGTAATATAGCTATAAGTTCTGTCAAAAATTATAATATGATAACTAATTACTTTTCAACAAATTTAAAAACACTTCAGAATAATAATAATTTTGCTTTTCCTATAACACTATTGCAGAGGCTGATAAAGTTATAGCATATAAAATATGGACAATAATAAGCCTTAGCTTTTGTATCTATTTATTTTAAGGTTATATTACTTAATAACATTTTTCTCATTATATGCAGCTGGAAATTTTTATTTTAGCCCTTATAAATATGTTCAAAATTACAAAAGTGGATTATTATAATTTTATTAGTATAACTAAAAAGGACTTTTAAAGTGGGATGTCCCTTTTTATTTAAAGATACAGAGTCCCTTTAGAAACTCTTCACAGAATTCTGACCTTTATCAAAAATTACCAGATTAAAATGTATTGTAAAAATAAAAGTTTATTTTATTTTTATAATTTTTTTTTTCAATTTGGACATTAATTGAGTTCTGAATTATTTGATTACAGTGAGGAAAGATCTCCTAAAAATTTCAAATCTTTTTGAAATGCATTAGACCACATGAATAAGAGTTCATCTAAGTCTCTACAAAATTTATGGGCTGCTTAAAATATTCCATTCCTTCTGCCAAAAAATCTGAGTTACTGACTTTTTCAGATTTTTATCACTCTAATTTATGCAAAATATGTTGCAGTGTTAGAGAAATGATAGCATGTGGAAACAGCTTTCTTTTCTTTCAAATGTAAACAGCTTAAATGAGCCAGCTCAGGCTCAAATAGGCAAACTTAAGAAATGAACTAGTGTAGTAATCAACTTGCATATTTCAAACTAACATGTTTTCTAAACCATCAATGTTTATAGAACATATTTTATTTGTCTCAGCAGCTGGTTGCCATTTATTTTTTATTCGTTAGGTTTTATGTAAAATTTAGCCAGAGTTCTTGAGCAACAGATCACATTGTTAAAACTGCTGCTGTGTTAGTGCAGAGTTATTGGCATTTTAATTGGTTTAAATCAAATTTTGTTCAACTAGCTATAGTTTTCTAGGAACATTCTTAGATGTTATCATATTTTTGTATTTATATTGTTATCCATTTTTGTTTTGTGGTTCAATTTGTTACTTGTGATTTTTTTCTTTCTTCCTCTGGATCAGGGATTAATTTTAAATTTCTCTTAGGTTTTCCACAACACAAATATGTGTAAATGTAGTAATTTTAAAATGTCTACATCTACATTAGTAAATTAAAACAGTGTTCTATGGTTTTCATAAATAAATAAATGTTTCGCTCAATGAAATTTTGGTAAACCACTAATATAACTAATTACTTTAAAACTGATTTTAAAAATAAACTATAACAAACATATAAATTTTAAAAAAAGATCTGAAGAAAAATTGTCAGTGAATTAATGTTTCACAAAAGAATGTGTCTAATATTGTGCAAACGTTTTCTGTGGTATATTTTATAATGATTCATTGTAAATGACTCATTTACATTCTCAGAGAACAAGCGTAATATTTCTTAGAACTTTAGCTCTCATTAATGCTTTTAAAAATGTTATCCACTTTTTAACAATCTTGTACTGATTGATACAAGCAGCTTAGAATTTTTAAAAATGTGATTCAACTTGAGAAAAGGAGCATAGCATATCTGTTATTGCCTTCAGCGTTTTTAACCTATGTAAGTAAGGTAAAAACGCCTTTCGGAATGAGACAATTTGATGATTTGATTTACCAGTTAAATCATGTAATGTTATGCCTATTTTCCTGAAACTATAAACCAGTTCCCTTGTCATTCAATGAGAAAGAAAAATATGTAGCAAGAAAATTTTCGTACACTTTTACCCAAGAATATTTAGAAACATCTAAACCTGGTTTAGATATTTTGTGTCAGGAACATGCACAATTATGTAAGTTTCATGTCATGAGTTTTGCATAATGAATAGGTCTTTTAAAAGAAATTTTTATTTGCATATTATCATATATATGCACCATTTGCTTTTATTTACTCTCCTATAATCATGTAAAATTACACCCATATTGTTTCTTATAAAAACAAACCTATACATTTTGAAAACAGCATAGATTTTTTTTTTTTGCAGTATCTATATACATATTACTCTTACACTTATTTTGCAATGTAGGTATCTAATACAAAATCATAATAATATACCATATGTATGCCTAAACATTTGTATATAAATTCGTTATAAAAAGTTAGCAATCCCTAATATCGGTCAATTGTCCATTTAGCATTGAAAACTGTTGTATAAGTAATTTACTTTAGGCTATTAAGATATGATTGCAGTAACAAGTGTATGTGGTGTTTTAAATATATTTGGTAACTCTTTAAAACTTAATGTTTCTTCTTTTTGTAGAAACAAAAGCACCTGGCAATCCATGTCGAAACATTTTACCAATGCTAGAAAGTCAAAAGAAAAAAGTGAAAAATCGTAACAGAGCTAATAAAGTTAAAGAGAACACAAGAGTTAAAAGGGAAAATCAAACTACTAAAAAAGAGCCCGAGAAAGCCAGTGAATGTGATAGCGAAATGGAAAAAATAGAAAGTTATACTGATGTTCAGGATAAAAGTTCTAAACCATGCCTTGATAATGTTTCGGAAGACGTATCGCACAAGAACACTGATAGCAATATCCACTTTTCTCCAGATAGCGTTGTGACAACATCAGAAGAATGCACTCTGCTTATTCCCAAGGAAAATGAAATGCAAAGTTCTAAAGAAGTGGGATTTTCTAACCCTGAAATTATACATATGGATGTAGAAATTAATAGCAGTGATGAAATAAATATTGCAAGTATTACGCATGAAGAATGTGATAATAGTATTGATTCAAATACCACAAGTTTAGTTGTAGACACCCTCAATAATTCAAATGTGAAAATTCCTTTAACAGAAATAAAAACTTTTCCTAATTTTGACTTCAGGGAAGTCATAAGTAAAAATATGGGAGACATTAGCTCTACTGAACACATTCATACCGATTACCCCGATGATGTTAGTTCTCATACTGAAAATGGCATCACTGTTGGGCACCTTAAATTTTCTAACCCAAATAGTCCTGTTTATGTAGATGACACACAATGTAAAGATATTCAAAATATTGACTCGAGTAACAGTTCAGAAAATAGTGAAACGACAAACAATCACTCTGAAGCTGTGCTTCCTATTAGCACTAAATATCAAAGTGATTCTGGTATTGGATCTGAAAGTAACGACTTTCAAACTGTGTTTGCTTCTCTGCAGGATACAGCAATTACCTCCCACCCTGTTGAGGAGGATACGTGTAACAAGAATCAGTTTCCTAAACTAGATGCCAGTGAGATTGGCCATTCAATTCCTGATGATGAGCAATGTGATTCTTTGCCAATTCTTCAATTGATGGAAGTGTCAAGCCTCAGCCCCGCTCAGAACTTGATGCTGCCCACACTTGATACAATAACAGACTCCAATCCGGTGACTGAATCAGAATATCTGTTAGAGCAAGAAGAACGAGATTCTTTACCAGAAACTCCCTGGTTTAGAGAAATAAATAAAATAGGTTTCTTACCAGAAAATGAATGTAATTCAGAGACTTCGTATCCGTCCACCTTAAAATTCAAGTGGACCAATAATAAAGCACCAGATGTGAGAAAAGTAAGGACATTAGCTGAAAGGAAAATTTTACCGCCATCTCCAGAACGCTCTAAACTTATTCTAAGAATTAAAAAGACAAATTCAGGTATTATTTACTCTTCAACCAGTCCCCGTAAACCGGAGCGCAAGTTCTTTCGAGAAAAGCAGCGTCCCAATGGTTACCTCGATCACTACATATACAATAATAGATATAAGAAAAAGAAAGGTAAGCACAAAGAACATTATAACATACTGAAGCGTAATAACACTTTCCAAAAAATGGACTTTTCTTCATATAGGGATAAAAATAATTACACAGAAACTTTTTCAGAATTCGTGAAAAGGGTGGGTGATGTTAAATATAAAAGAATCAAATTAAAATATGGGTTATATAATTCTTTAACCATTGACATTCCACCTTCTAAACTCAGAAAAGTGTCTTAATTTTAAAAAAATAGTGAAATCATTATTGCAATTTTTATAGCAATATTGTTTTATATAATTAAAAACTTTTTTAATTTTTGGTTATAACACTGCCATAAATTATTTCTTAAACTGACATTGTGTTAATTTACTCTTATTGCATCTTAAGAACCATGCATTTTTTATTTATTGCTTATTGTTCAAATTATTATAAGTTGTTAGAAAAAAAAATCTATGCATAATATTTTGAATCCTAAAAATATGTTTGCAAAACAAGTGAAACAATCTTCGGTTTCAAGCACTTCTCTCAATGACAGCTTAAATTTTAATTTATACTTTCATTGTTTTCTGTTGATAGACACTAAGAAAGTTGATTATTTAATTTAATTTCTATGTAATCTTTATGTTGTAATACATTTCTTCAAATTTTAAAAAGCTTCTAAGGTCAATTTTTATTTAATTTTGGCAGTATTATCATTTTTTAAATTTTGAAGAGGGTATCTAAGTTAATATTTTATAATTAATAAGTGAATTAAAAAAAAAAAAAAAAATTAGCAAATTGCAGAATTGCTCCATAGCTGGTCTGTTGCTACTTTTTTTCCTCAAGAAATTGTAATCAATATATTTAAAATTTATAAATTTTTTAATGTAATTATATGCTTTGACTCCTAATGATTGATATTCTGCATTGTAAATTTCTTTTGCCAATGTTATAAAGTGCAATTTTTTTTTACTAACACAGTGTCAGTGCTTAAGAACTTCTCTCTGATTGTACATAAACAGAAAGAAACGGCTCATCTGTGATGTTTAATTGTATTTGATATTAAAGTATGTTTTGTATATTTGTCTATTTATATTAATTTTATTATCGTCTCAGTTGTTCATATCACATTTCAAGTGTTAATATCTATCAACGTTGACTCTACTTACGTTACATTCTCCTGTATTGTTTACATTAAAGTCTACTATCTTAAAATTGGACTTGCTTTTAACTATACATTTTTTTCATTGTACATAGAAATAAAACATTACTTTCTATTTTAAATATTTATCTGTTTTTATAATAAGTACTATAATGTGCTTTTTTCCTAAACAGTGGTGTGTTCTATGATACTGACAGTGAGCTTTTGTATAAGGCATGGAAGGATACATTATTTTTCACTTTATCTCTTCATTAATCAATTTTGACTGTAAATACATTTACATAAAAATAAAAAAAAACTTTCAATATTTGAAAGACATCGTATAGAATTCATAAAGGCAATCTTGTACATAACTTAAATTATTGTTGCTTTCGCTGTGCAGTACCATTAATGATTATTGCACTGAAACATTTTTGATTTTTAGTCATTCTGTTTTTTTTCTTCCCCCTAATACTTTGAAATGTAAATTTTGACGTATTTATTTTATACTGTGCTTTTATGTAATTTTGTTAAAAGTTTCGAAAGGTTCATTTTTTTTGTAGCTCGGTTATCATTCCTTTCATAGAAAAGTGGTCTTTATATTTATTTTATTAGTTTCAGTAGCTCTTTTTTTCTGGTGTCTTTTGACCTCCCACTATCAAACTTGTACAGTTACATTAGGCTGGGTTTACTAGCGTTTTTTTATGGAAGTGCCTGCGCTCTAAATGTAGTAATTTTATTTTAACGGCTTTTAATTTTTTAAATTGAAAATTATTAAAATTCATTGTTAAATAAATAAGATATGGTTTCAAAGTGCATAGAATTATTGTTAGTTAAATGCAACCTTTTTTTATTAAAAATGCATAATTTCATCATGATTTTATATTTGGTAATATCAAATGAACATTTTAAGATATTAATTAGAAAATAACTATTTATTAAATAAACATTTTATTAAGTTTTTGACATTAAAGTCACTCTAGAAATGTTCATAAGTGGCACCATTTAAATACTATTCAAACAATTTTTCTAATGGGGCTGAAGTCCTATTGGGTAAAGGTTTAAATTTGAAAATCAATGAAAGGAATCATTAACATTATAAAATAAACATTTTTATTTTAAATTAAAAACTATTTTTAAAAAATTGAATGAAAAATTTGTTAGATCAAAATTTGGGTAAAAATAATTTTAGTTACGAAATTTTCATTAGCATGCTATCAAAATGAGTGATTTTTTTTGTTTACATCTATATTTTTTTTATTCATGATTGGTGTGAAAATTGTTTTCAAAAGCAGAAAGAAAAATCAAAATGTTTTTTTATTTAATCAAAATGTATGTTTTTAAAATCATAATCATTAGTTTTTAGACTTACTTTTTTTATTAGAACTTTTAATTCACTGCTACAATCCTAGTATGTTTCACTTATAAGATTGTAATTCTATCAATATTTATGATGATTAAATATCTAACTATAAATATTCATATCTTGCAGTAATTCAATCTAGATCATTTTTACTAAAAATCTATTGCTGCTTTTAGTTAAAATATTTTTTTTTAATTGAAAAAAAAATCTTACAATTTTATTTATAATTTGCTTTTTATGATTTTGATTCCACTGAAAGTTGAAATGATCTGCTTTTATATGCAATTAAAAATTCTTAATTTGTTTTAAATAAAATAAAAAAATTAATTTTAAACTTTTGATCAAATCAATTATGATGTGAAATTTGAACAAACTTATAATTGAATTTTATTTCTTGCTTACTTTATGTATAAATAAAGTATTACTTATTTGGTATTCTTGTTTTTATTTAAGCAAACACAATATTATTACACTTTTCAGAAATATAAATTTGTGAGTTTTTAATCATGTTAATAATTTATCTCTCACTCTATATATACAGTTTAAACCTGATATAATGAACGCAAGATTTAGTGAACACTCAATTGTAGTTAACAGCTGAGAAATTGGTAGTTCGTTTATAATGGACTTAAAATTTCTCTTTGCTGTTATTTAAATGAATTATACAAAATTTTTAGTTTATGTATTAAGTTCAGTATATAATTCTGAATTTTTAAATAAAAATGGAGTAATACACATTGTAAAGGAGTATTTAAAATGAGTCATTTTGCTGAAATGACTAAGTTTTAAATACTTCTAAATATTAAAAAATTGTCTCAAATTTATAAAATACAATGCCAGAGTTTAGATAGAATAAAAAAAACTATTAAATAACCTTTTTGTGCTTTACATCCTTTTAAAAAGAAAAAAAATATTTTTTTTTTTAAAAAGTAAAAAGCGGTAGCGAAAACATTTTATTATTAGCATTTATTTTGAAGACAAACATTTTTGTCTACCATTATATAATAAAAATATTTATATCTAGATCGGAAGCCAAATAAAAATAGAACAATACCTTTTTAAAGCTAGAGTGGCAGGAGACTTAAGGAAATATCCATTTGGTTTATATTCTCTACCACTTTTTACGTCATTTCAATATTTGTTGTCTGGCATTAATGAAATAAACAGAGAAATCCTAATGAATAGTAGATAAATAGCTCTAGCAAAAATTGAGCTCTGCATTGTATCTTATTACATATCTTATACATTATTTTATACATGCAATTAAAATAAATGATTTAATTTCTTTATAATTTGCAGAAATAAGGTTGTTTGCGCAACTGTTTTAATAACATCTTTTTACTAAATTAATACGTCTATCATGTCTAAAAAATTCAATATGTAAATTTTTTTTTCACATCACAAGAACAAGACAATTGCCACATAATTGAACAACACAGCCTAAAATCAATTTTTTTCTTTTCAACACTCTATTAGAGGGAGTGATTGAGGTCAACCCCTTGAATGGACTTGGTGCAATAACTACAGGAAAAAATAAAGTAAATTGTATTTCGTTTATTAAATAAAAATAGCTATAATTTCCTTTAATAGTGTAATAATTTGGAAACCTAATAAAAAAATTAACCAAAAAACCAGTTCTTTTTATATTTAGAACAGTTTGGTTATCTTAAAATAGTTTTATAAGAAAGCAGTCAACCCCATACACTTTTGATGCTAAATGAAGCTTATCCTTAACTGAGCAAATTTGCAGGATTCCTTTCACTGGTTCAAATTGTTCCCCATTAGCAATTTAGTCAGTATTGAGATCAGTACCAGCTACTGATGTCAATATTTGCACAAATTAAATATGTAGTTATCTGTTAAAAATTTAACATTTTAGATTTAAAATGAAAATTTCAGTTAATTTCTCAGCTATTACAACATCAGCTATTAATATTTCAATTTAGATCATGTTCTAATTCTTAAGACAAAATTTTTTAGCTACAACAATCTAATTTTTTTTTAAAAATAAGTAATATGAACATAATTTTAGTTAAACCAGTCACATTTTAGGGCAGTATATCAACTAACTTATATTACAGAATCACAATTAACACCTAAGTTATTAATCATCTTTGTAACTTACCAAAACTAAGCAAATAACTAGCACTTATGTAAATCTTGAAAAGAAATAAACTAGCTGAGCAAAGGCAGTAGTACACCCAGTATTTGGTTCTTCCTCCCACAGTTACCATTTTGCAGCTACTCATTCATCAATTTTGTAATGTGTAGTAAAATAAATATGAGTCTGTCTATTTTATTTTAAAATCGTCGTTGTACAGCCGTCCCTATTTTAGATTTACTATTACTAATGTTCAACTCCGTAGCCTTGTAATTTTAAACAATCCAGAAGACAAGGAAACACCTAGATCAATACCCCCAGAGGTATGATTTATTATGTGAACATGGAGGACTTTGTGACTCGACAGATTTAATGTGCACCAGTTACTGCACGTGGAGTCTTCAGTCGCCGGGGAACGAACCCACGACCTCTTGGACATGGGCCTGGTTCCCTACCTATTTAATTTTAAAAGAAGACTACAAAAACTGTATAAATGCCGAGATAGCCTGGTTGGTAGGGCACTGGGCTCATGTTCAAGAGTTCCTGGGTTCGATCCCCACTGGTCGAAGACTCACCGTGCAGTAAGTGGTGACTGATGCACGTTAAGTCTGTCGAGTCGCAAAGTCCTCCATGTTCCCATAACAAATCAATATCTATTGGTGTACTGATCCAGGAGTTTCCTTGTCTTCTAGATTGGTTTAAAATTACAAGGCTACGGAGTTGAACATAAGTAGTCGTAAACCCAAAATTGGGTCAACTGTTCAACGACGGATATATAAAAAGAAAAGAACACTGTACAAAATATTACACTTATCATATTACAGTCAAGCCCGTCCTCAACGGGGGGTGAGAGGGGTGTCCCCCCCCCAGCGATATCCGCAAATTCAGGTTGAGTCTTCTTTTTTTTTTTTTTTTTTTTTTTTTTTANGGTTGAGTCGGCTTTTTTTTTTGCAAGCCAAAATCCCGACTTTGCCGAAATTCTTTCACTGTCGGATTTTTCATTGGTGATGAGATTTAAACGGATTTAAATGTTATCTGAGTTCTGTCCATTTCGGGATCCCAGACCCGACTCGGCAAATCTTGTTGTGAAATGTGTTTTTAAATTTAGTTTGTTTATTTTTCTCCTCCAAGAGTAACCATTTATGATAATTCAAAGCAAGATGACCAATAATACAAGCCTAAATCCCGACTTTGCCGAAATTCTTTTATTATCGGATATCATTGGTGATGAGATTAAAACGGATTTCAATGTTATCTGAATTTCGGGATCCCAGACCCAACTCGGCAAATCTTGTTGTGAAATGTGTTTTTAAATGTAGTTTGTTTGTTTTTTTCTCCTCCAAGCTCTTGGAATGGTTACTCGAGTAACCATTTATGATAATTCAAAGCACGATGACCGATATTACAAGCCAAAATCTCGAAAACCATTTCTCTTGTATTATTATTTCAACGACACATTCTTGAATTTTAAAAAAAATTAGTGACCTTAATTTTTAGTTATCTAATAATGTATCATAAAATTCAGATATTAATTATCTGAATTATATTAACTCTTTATTAGAGGTTCAAGTAATTTTTTTAAAGGAAGTGATGAACTTATAAGTCTTTTTTAAAGAATTAATAAATTTTAAATAAAATAATCGTGCCGTTAACCCATTTTTTTTCTTTTACTTTCGAAATATCGGGGAAAAATTACAAATAAGAGTACCTTTATTATTCAAAATATCTTATTTAAATTGTTTAAATAACATAAATTATTAAATAATTTATATTTTCAATTAGTAAAAGCTATTTTTCTACTATGAAGAATTTTACTAATTCCAAAGGACTTTAAACATTTAAAAAAAAAAAAAAAACATTTAATTTGTTAACTTCCCTTCAGTTCATAACTTTTAAAATTCTGTGATGATTGGATTATTATTTGAGTTAAAAAAATTTTAACCTAAAATAAATTGTTCATATCTTTAGAACAATTAATCATCGCAACAAAATTTGATATTCTCTATAGAAAATAGTAAACATATATGTGATCCTCAATTCACCTTTATAAAAGTTTCTGTTTTGAAAATAAAATATTATATTTTACTTTTAATATTTTTTTTCAAGAATCCTAAGAATTCTGAAACATTAAATTGAGTTACACTCAATCGAATCGACACTTCAATCATTTCACACAATTTGTGGATGGTTGCCGAGTTCAAAGTATTAAATGTTGTAATTTTGGATTCATTAATTATTTCAATAAAAATACGGTGAAAATAGAGGAATTCTTTGATTCTGAGTATTCACGGAAAAGTGGCAATTCTGTTTGATCAAGATTCAAGCCGTTACCGGCATTATGAAAAGGCGCAAAAAAAAAAAAAAAAGGANAAAAAAAAAAAAAAAAAAAGGATGGTCCTGCGGCGACTCCGATCTTGTGAAACAGCAGACAAAACCCCTGACATTTCTGTCAACTTGAAAAATCGAGGGTGTTTTAAAAGTGTTTAGCTAGAAATGCCCTATAAGCCAGGGATGGCGAACCAATGGCACGCGTGCCATTTATGGCACGAGACACAATATTTTGGGCACGCCACCGATCACAATTGTTATTACACAAATATTATTACACTATGAAGCATATGTAACAATTAAATTAAAATTCACAAAAACAAACAAAATAATGAACATTTATTAATAAAAAAATTCACAATTAATGCTAAAAAAACAGTTAATAGCCATAAAAAACAAGCTAACGATAAATAACTAGCAAAAAAGAATAACAGTCCTGCTTGAACTAACATCTTACAACCTATTATAAGTTATATGTCATCTAATCTGCAACAACAAAAGTCACACTGATGTTACTTTAAGCTGTTTTAAGATATTGCAAAATATTTTTTTTAAATGTAAATTAAGAGTATTTAGTATTATTATTTTCTCAATAATCACGAAGTCAGAATTATTTGACGGCACGTCTATGACCTCATTAAACATTTTTTTAGAATAATTGGCACGTTGGTGTATGAAGGTTCGCCACCCCTGCAAGCTATATTATCTCATGTTTTCTCTTACTCTTTCTAAGAATAAAGACAATATCTTTGTCCATGTCGTTAAAGAAGGGGCTCAATGCACATGCAGCTGTGGTACCAATTACTTCACTGACCTGTCTAGTACGGGTACTTAGTTACTCAAAGCGTATTTTATAAATCCATATTATTATTGAATAAAATAGAAAATCCGCCCACAAGCCAACGATCATCCAATCTACCGCAGCTTAAGTTTTGAATGTGAGTATGTATAATTTTTTTTATGAATATATATTTATTATTAGCAGTCTTATTGTTTAAGTACTAAG